ATAATCCATGAAGGAAATAGTGGAAATAGAGGATGAAGCCCCATCATGCTGGATTTTTAAAACCAGACTAGACAAAGCTCTGGAAGTTCATGTCTAGGCTAGAGGATTCTGGGCCTCAAAGTTCTTTGACTCTATGGGCAAGATACTAAACAGTTCCAATTAGAGTAATCACACTACTTTGCTCTTGTATACACTTTTCATCAGGAAAGCAAAAAGCACTTTATCCCCTTTTTACAGATAAGGAGAATGAGATGTAGACAGTGAAGTGAGTCTTCACTTGAGTGACACCTTTGCCTTGGGTCACTCAATAGGCCAGGGATGAGCAGAGAGGAAAACTCGGACTTCCTGCATCCCAGTGCACCGGCCTACTCACTAAGGCTGTGTCCAGACTCAGGGGTTTTTTCGAAAAAAGTAGCCTTTTTTCGAAAAAACTTCACCTGCGTCCAGACTCAAGCCGCGTTCTTTCGAAATTAAATCGAAAGAACGCGGCTTTTCTTTCGATGGCGGTAAACCTAATTCTACGAGGAAGAATGCCTTCTTTCGAAAGTTCCTCTTTCGAAAGAAGGCGTTCTTCAATGTAAATAGGGCTTCTTCGAAAGAGAGCATCCAGACTCACTGGATGCTTTCTTTCAAAAAAGCAAGCCGCTTTTTCGAAAGTTCAACGTGCAGTCTAGACGCTCTCTTTCGAAAGAGGCTTGCAGTCTAGACATAGCCTAAGGCTGTGTCCAGACTCAGGGGTTTTTTCGGGAAAAGTAGTCTTTTCCCGAAAAAACTTCCCCTGCGTCCAGACTCAAGCCGCGTTCTTTCGAAATTATTTCGAAAGAACGCGGCTTTTCTTTCGATGGCGGTAAACCTCGTTTCACGAGGAAGAACGCCTTCTTTCGAAAGTTCCTCTTTCGAAAGAAGGCGTTCTACAATGTAAAGAGGCCGTCTTCGAAAGAGAGCATTAAATAGGGCTTCCTCGAAAGAGAGCATCCAGACTCGCTGGGTGCTCTCTTTCGAAAAAGCGGATTGCTCTTTCGAAAGATCCGCCTGCAGTCTAGATGCGATCTTTCGAAAGAGGCTCTTTCGAAAGAAGCCTGCAGTCTAGACATAGCCTAAGGGTATGTCAATGTTATGGGACAAACTCATTCCACAGAGGAGAATCTCGAGAACATGTATATGTTCTGGCACAAATTGTTCCTTTCAGTGTAGATGATATGGCTTTCTCATTGCTTTTCTTTATTTGAATTACTGTCATCCTAAAATTACTGTCATCTCCAAAAAGGAATGAACAAACACTCAGGCTATCTTACCCATTACCAAGATAGCTTCCCCAATTATCACCTCTAATACCATTAGCTCACAAACATCCCACTCTCCCCACCTCTAATATTATCAATTCACAGACACTTACCTTCCTTCCTTCCTTCCCCCCCCCGCATCCCCCTCCTGTTCTGAAATGTGATTTGTCCTTTTCATATGTGTTCATTTTTTAAAATTGTATCCTTTGGTATATATGGTTGTGACTATTTTCTTCCACTATTTGATCTGAGGAAGTGGGTCTGGCCCACGAAAGCTCATCATCTAATAAACCATCTTGTTAGTCTTTAAAGTGCTACATTGTCCTGCATTTTGCTTCTGTCATCCTAACTGTGATCGAGTGCGAGGGGCTGTACATACTGCTAGTGAAAGACCCCACCTTGAAGACTTTACAATCTAAACAGACAAGACAAAGGGAGACAGGAAGGAAGTTCTATTATCGCCATGTAACATGAGGCCCAGAAAAGTTAAATGGCTTATTTGAGGTCACACAGGAAATCAGTGGCTAAAATGGGAATTGCAATTATATCTCCAGAGTCATAGTCTGCTCACCTAGGCTGTGTCCAGACTCAGGGTTTTTTCCGGAAAAAGTAGCCTTTTTCCGAAAAAACTTCGCCTGCGTCTAGACTGCAGCCGCGTTCTTTTGAAATTAAATCGAAAGAACGCGGCTTTTCTTTCGACGGTGGTAAACCTCATTTTACGAGGAAGAATGCCTTTTTTCGAAAGTGCTCTTTCGAAAAAAGGCGTTCTTGAATGCAAACAGGGGTTTTTCAAAAGAGAGCATCCAGACTGCCTTTCGAAAAAGCGGCTTGCTTTTTCGAAAGTTCCGCTTGCAGTCTAGACGCTCTTTTTCGAAAGAGGCTTGCAGTCTAGACATAGCCCTAATGAACAAAGCCATCTTTCCTCTGCATTTGCCCAAAGCACAAGCTGCAGTCCTGCCATGTATAAAGAGAATTTAAATGATCAGGTTTTGCCCATTGCATTCATTCTTATCAATGCTGTCAGACTTTATCCCCTTTCAAGGAAGGTATGTCAGGTTTCTTTAGCTATCTTCTGCTGTCATGAGCCTGCAGAGGGGAATGCAGGCCCTAAAAGCAGGGCCATTCTTAGGATGTAGGGGGGGGACACGCATTACTATTAAACTGGTGCCCCATATCTGATGGCAGCCGGGGTGAGGGGAATGATGATTTTTAGAGATGTGATTTTATAACCCTCAGCCACACACTAGTGAAATATTTTTATAGCAAATGTTAAACTAAGATCTTGTCAACAAACACAATAAATTCAGAAACGGACAGTATACAGCCGCGTTAGGCAAATGCCTGTTAAATGGCTTAATTACCACTTGAATGGCTCTTTCACAGGTCCAGTGGTCTGCTAATAAGTCTGGCAGGATTTTTCATTTGTAAGCTAACTAGATCCTCTCTGGAGGAAGCAGAGCCGCAGGGATAGGAAGAGGCATGTGTGTGGACATTCAGACCCAGGGCTGCCCCAAGTTTTCAGGTGCCCTACACAACTGCATATTCTGTGTATGGGGAAGGATGCCCCTGCCTAAAAGAAAGATAAAACTCTCTTGGTGTACAGGTAGCAGATAGAGGTCAGAACAAGCAAAAGAAATTTACCCAAGAAACAGGAGGGCTGTGTTTAGACTGGCCAGTTTTTCCAGAAAATCAGCCGCTTTTCTGGAAAAACTTGCTAGCTGTCTACACTGGCCGCTTGAATTTCCGCAAAATCACTGACTTCCTACTGTAAGAAATCAGTGCTTTTTGCGGAAATACTATGCTGCTCTCGTTTGGGCAAAAGTCACTTTTGCGCAAAAGGGCCAGTGTAGACAGCTGAGATTTGTTATCCGCAAAAAAGCCCCGATCGTGAAAATGGCGATCGGGGCTTTTTTGCGGAAAAGCGTCCTTGCCAATCTAGACGCTCTGTTCCGAAAATGCTTTTAACGGAAAACTTTTCCGTCAAAAGCTTTTCTGGAAAATCATGCCAGTCTAGACATAGCCGAGCTATGCGGGGGAACAGATTACTTGGGCTGAATATAGCCAGAGGCTCGGGGAATGTGCAAAGTGGAATATACCGTTTTTTTCCCTCTTTGATCATTAATCAATTCATAATTTAAATCAACACCCCCTCCAGAGAGCCCAATTAGACATGAGAAATAAGTTAATGACCAGAGATGTAGTGAAGAGGATGTAAACATCAGCCTCTACAGCACAGTGAGGCATTAATCTGTAACCTATGCAGACCTCTGAAATACATTTCCCTGAAATGCTTTCTTTTCTTTGGCTCCAGGAGGTGCTCTCATTAATATTCCCTGCCCTCTCACATACTTTGGAGGCAAGGGTAACACATTTTTGTCAAAAAACATCCACCACCAACCCTAATTTTCTTTCTTTGGTAAATGAATGAAAGTTGACAAGCTCAGGGAAGAAGAGAAGATTGTGTGATGGGTAGAGAGAGGAATTTTGCACATCAGACGGCTCTGCCAGGGCAGCAGAAAAATGGGATCAGCTGCCAATGGGAATACAGCAAGTGAGGAGACCATTCTCTGCAGTCCAAATGTCATGACTGAGTAGAGGATGTCAGGACAAGATGCAAGGAAGACTCATTCAGATTGCTGTTTCCCATGGGGAGCCCTGATTTATCCCTATACCCACAGCTCATCGGGGACACAAAATAATTTTACTGAAATATAGAAGGGTTTATAGGGCAAGATTTTCAAAAGAGTTTAGCTCCGATTTAACCACCAAAGGAGGTGAGCGAATTGGCGAATGTGGCATTGAGGCACGTTGAATACTGAGTTGTTTTGAAAGTCTGGTCATGACTATTGAGAACTGGGTTCTATTGTTGGTCTGGTCATTGGTCTGCTGGGTGACTGGGACCAGTCTCTTGCCACCTTGTGCCTCAGTTTCCCCATCCATAAAATGGGAATAACAATATTTACTTCCTTTGTCAAGCAGTTTGAGAACAACTGGTGAAAAGAGCTGAATAGTAGTAGTAAAACCAACGCCGAGTTCTGGAAATCAGGCTCTAACTGTAGGGGGTGAACAGAATTGTGAGAGCTGGGGGAAATTTCAGCACTGGTTCAGTGGTACCAGATGAGCTGTTTTTTGTTTGTTTTGTTTGTTTCTTTTTTTAAAAATGTTCACGACACTTTTCATCAAAAGGTTGTAGCTGACATTGTTATTGAAAATGTTACTACATTTTTTTTTGTTTCCTAAAAACTAGGGTTTCAATACATAAAATTTGTCCATAACATTTATGCCGAGTTTGAATGAAAATAGTGCAGTTTCATGAAAAAACAAAAACAAAAAGTTTGTTCTGAACATTTTCATTTTTTCTTGAAAAAAGGCTGTGTTTGCAACATTTTGACTAATAATGATTATGTGGAAAATCTAGTCCATTGTGTTTGAACAGGAGTAGCCAATAAAGGCATGACTTTCTCAGGTAACTTAAGAACATAAGAACGGCCGTACTGGGTCAGACCAAAGGAACATCTAGCCCAGTAGCCTGTCTGCTGAC